TTTATATGGTTAACTGTGTCTTTTGTCTTTGTCACGATATTTATTGTTCTAAAAATTGTCTATTATCAACAAATATTTAAAAATTATAAGGATGATAAATTATAAAATCCTAATGAAACACTGACTATTTTTAATAATAATATAACGTCGCATTTTGGATATCATTTCCGGATTAAAAAAGGTTAAATAGCTTAAAAAAGCTATTATATATTTTTTTACTAAGACGTGACATTTTTTTTTATCGGAAATTGCTTTTAGTTAATTGAAATGTTCCGGCTTTGTTTTATGTCGTACATTAAAAGATACAGATTTTCAGCCCAGTGATACTGTTTTTATAAAAAGTCTTCTCTTCTTTCATTTTTGCTTTTTGTGTTTAAACTTTCATTTTAACCTTAAACACCACATCTTATGTTCTAAGTACCGTAATTTTGCCATGATGCCCGTTAATTGAACCGAGACAATGTAAAAGCGGGTGTGTTGCCCTTTAGAGCAGTGGCGGAATTAATAATTTGTTCTGGAGAAGGATATCATTTTTAATATCACGTTACTTAGCCTTACCTATTGGGCGGGGGATACAAAAAGTACAAAAAACTCAATTTTTTAGATCTGAATGTGTTCATTGTTCAAATTAAATTAGTCGTTTGTATTAGAATCCTAGCCCCCTTTTTTTTTTTTATCGGGCATGGCCGCGTGGGAAGCTTTAAAATCCGTTAAAAATGATGAATGGTGTTTTGCCGTTTTTCTTTCGAACTTCAATATTATACTTAATCACCACCTACCAATCACCCAGTATAAGTCGCGTAAATACAATTTACTATTACAATTTGTACTATACACAGTAGACTTAATAAAAAAAAATCGTTTGAGCGGTTTTCATATCTATATTAATATTGCATAATTTACCAGTGATAATAGTTAACAGTGGATCTTCAATTAAATTTGTATTTTTGAAAATATCACACATGCCACATGAACTTAAATACAATTGTGCTATTGTACCTACTTATTTATGAAAATAAAATGCTCCGAGTGGGATGCATGTCCTATATCCCCTCGTAACTACGTCACTGCTATTAAGTGAATAACTTTGACGGTGTAATATATACTGCTATTATAACTCTCGTGTTAAAACGTACACGTTCGATCAGGCCACAATATAATATTCGAACCGATATTTTCAGTAATACGCAATAGAGTATATAGGTATCAACGCCTAATAATAATGTTGCGTCATTCTGTGATATTTATCTGCATACAGCGACCATTGCATTTAACTTTTCTGTGTATGCGTGGATATATTATGTTTTAGATCTTTAGATTTAATGGATTTGCTTTAATTGATGTCTTTGTTGAACATCAGCTCGGTGTTTGGTGTCGAACGATAAACTTCACGAAAACCTTGATGTATACCTGTATACTTGTCCAGAATACGTCGTAGAATATTATGCGAAGTTTCCTCCCTGTATATACATTGCGATTTGAAATGTTGATTTTACAAAACCCGAACCCGGGATTCATTTGTATATTAAAATGTACATTATATATCTAGTTATACCTTACCTAGTTAGGGGCCAAATGCTTTTGCGCGGACGAGATTAAGATTGTAGACTATAACCACGAGTATCGAATAGCTACATGACATTCAATAAAATCATAATATTACGATATTATTATTAAATCGTATCGCACGCGGTATTTTTTTAGCGAATATCCGCTGCGCGTTATTGTAACATATAATATTTTGTCACGAAACCGACCAACCCAATCGTTTGCCGTTTATGTTCTAGTGAACACGTAGCAAGCAAAACCGTATTCTGTTGCGCTGCGTCAAATCGATTTAGCCGATTGTCTATGGGGACACAGTAAACCTCTTTGGAAAAAAAAGGCCGGGTATCGTAGCTCCAAATATTAATTAAAAATCCACCTAAAAGTTGTGACGTTATTATTGCTATTATACACGTATATACGTATATACATATATATATATATATATATATATATATTTATTTATTTTTCGTTAATCTAAATCGAATGGCTTTTCAGATTTGGCCTGTCCGCAGAAAAACGAACGCGACTCGCTCGTCGTCGTCGTCGTCGTGATTGAAAATCAATTTTAGCCGTTTTAGTTCAGATTTTGTGCGCATACGTAGATAACATACGAGTACCTATATTATAATATTAGTGATAGGTACGCGTTCGTTTTTCCGGTACGATTGATGTGCGATGGCGGTTAATATATTGGGGAAAATGGAGATGATTTAGAGTACCCATAATGTATAGGTACAGTGATTGATCATCGGTATCGTATGACCGACCTGCCGGCTGAATTATTGTCATACACATGGTTTCCTTTACACGTCATTATCCGCGGCTCCGTGTAATTACGTCCTTGTTATCGGCTTAAGCCCGAAAATCGCAAAACAGATTTACTGGGTTTCAGGATATTGACTAGTTAGTTCAAAAGTCAAAAGTCGAGTCGATTTTACAATTTTTCACTTAGCTTTTAATTTTTTTTTTTTTCTAGTTAATAACTCTAAGTTATTTTTAAATTCTGTACAAAGCGAGCAATGTATTGATTTCACGGTGACAGGAGGTTTTTCTATGTTTGTAAATAACTTTTCCTGTAGACATTTTACTCTTATCAATAACTTCATAGGAACTTTTTTGTAACATTTTTAATTTGATTGGTGCGTTGAGTTCATTTGTTTGATTATCCAAATATACAAATGATACAAATGGGGAAAACTATCAATTTTTGTGAATTTATGGATTACCTTGCCAACAAAGGAAAAACTTGGCAAATAATACTCTGCTCAGAATAATTTTTCGTTGTATTTTGATCAGTTTTCAACCTGTTTTGATCATCCTAATTTTAAAAAAATCACAAGTATCATTTTGCAAACCGTACAGCATAATTTATCAAGCATGAAAAAAAAAACAGACTAAAAAATAATAGTGACATATTTTAACAGTTTACAATGCATTGAAAATTAAAACTCGACTAATTAAGGTCGGACAAAAAATAGAAAATTAAAAAAAATAATTACCGTATCAATTCACATGCGGTTAAAGGAGGTATTTTTGATATACCTACCTACCAGATGATGATCATAAAAAGCGACTTTAAAAATGTTTTTTTACGTGTTCATTGTGTTTCATAACGTTTTTTTTTTTTTCAGTTTATTTTAGTCAAGCTTTTATTACAAAAATGAAGGGTTCCTTTCACAGATTTATTACTGAACAGGTATTTAGTGTCGCGGGAAAGGGTCAACCTAAGTTTTGTCCAATAATTCGCATCTCTCTCTCGAACGAAACGATCTCGTATGAACTAAGAAGGCTCAAGGAATATAATATTTACCTAATATGTTTACTGAGTACGAAAATCTCTGCTTTTTTTTAATAATTTTATGTTCATATTTTTTAACATAAATCTTAACACTTATTCTTTTTTTTGTTTTTTTTTTGTTTTTCTCAACGTGACGTATTCATAATTTATAACAAGGAATGAGAGTGTAAACTGGGTAAATTCAACAATATAATATATAATAAATAACGAGAAACGTTTTGAATTAAACTGTTGGTAAACGTAATAGTATGTGCGGAACATTACAGGCAGCCTCTGTTTACGTGCACGTTTCTTGGCAAAAAAAAATTAAAATTAATTTTCTCATGTCGAGAACGCGTGTGAAAATCGGTCGAAAAAAAATATTATTTTTTTTCCGTTCTTTCTAGGTACTAGTAGAAATGCGCCTTTAGTATTTATTATGGCTGCACAGTACGCAGCAGTTGTCGGTGGTGCCGTTCTAACTGATAACTATACGGTTTTTTATTTACACCCCAAATTAATAATAATAATAGTATAAAATATATTAAATCTATCGACCTACACGTCTTTTGCGGTTTCTATTTTATGTGGCCTTCGTACGAAATAAACACGAAAAACGAAATATTTTTAAAAAATTTCGTTTTAATATTTAAAAAAAAAAACGCGATTTTACATTGCATTTTCCAAGGGTTCTGTTTAAATCATTAATTTATATTATGTAATCTTTTCGGCTTGAATACGTGATTAGTGTTTTTTTTTCTTTTTAATAACGGATTTCGTAGAAAATTTCATAAGCTTCGACACTGAAATCTCCATAATGACCCAAGTTTGAATTATCGGGTTTTTTTTTTTTTCATATGACGGCAGTATACTGTACTTTAAATAACACTCACTTATTGTACAATTGTGAACCTTAACGAACGAGTAAAAAAAAAAAAAAAAATGTTTTTGACGAATTGTATATTTTCAAACAATAATATGACTTTGGAATTTTCCATTTTGGCGTGGCTTTCGAGCTTATAGCTATTGCGGAATTTACGACTACTGCACGTTCGCGGAAAGTTTATTATATTATTATTCGAAACAATATTTAAATTCGAACACTTTGTATTCGAAATAACTGCAATAAATGCTTTATTATATAACCAGCTGCTATCCGCAAATAAGAGACGTATTAGACGTACGAGGATAATATTTTCAGGCCGCAACACGAAGGTCTGACATTTGAAATAACTTTTTTTCAGTTCAATATTTTTAAAAATTTTTTTCTTTTTCATTTATGTTTTGATAGATACTGGAATCTTGCGCTATTACTTCTATCTTATATTATTATATATGTTTTTTTTTTAAAAACCAAATATAAACAATTCAAATTTTTCTGAAATTGTTTTTACATTATCCGAGATGGCCAATATATAAACACATATTTTAAATCAAAACTCGCGTGTTAAAAACATTTATTAACAATGAATCGTTAATTTTCCACAATTGAATTAATGATTAAATTAGTAATTTAAACTGTTTTCACAGTCATTATTAAATATTAATATCAATCGATCGTCAATTTTTTAGTTATTAAATTTATACAAAAATAATTTTTTGAAAACGTTTATTTAGTGGAAAAGAGTAGCTAAGCATGTGAGAGAGACTACAAAGTGAAACAATAATTTCACTGTCACAGTGGTTTAGCTTTTCCAAAAGTATTCAAGTCTTTCCATGGTTCTAATATTGCATCAATAATTGTATGCATATCTTGCATTAAACTCTTTACTCCTTCATGTCTCTCGGCCCATCTCATTTCACATAAGCTAATCAACTGATTTCCAACATATTTTCTTAAAACAGCTGTTTTTTTAGCTGATGCAGAAAAAAATGATTCAGTTTCCTTAATTACTCCAATAAGAATTCAGATACGTTTGATGTGTAAGGATTGTGATATAAAATTATTAAGCGAATGATAAAAACAAGAATACCTGCGAGCATTAGATGCTACTTTAATGATTTCACTTACAGCTCCACTAAGTTCTGCCATTACTCTTCATTCATTACTTTCTACACCCAACCTTTTATTTTAAATCAAGACCAACACTTTTTATTTGCTTGATAATAATTTTACCTAGTACTTTTCCAGTACTTGAAATGTCTTTTTTTTCTTCGCCATTTTTTCCATTTTCCTCGTTATCTTCAGGTTCCTTAGTAAAGCCAAAGCTTCATCAAAAACATCGACAAACATGACGAAATCTTCTCTAACTGAATCATTATAATTATATTACCTTAAAACCAAACTGATTAAAATGATACCGAAAGAAAATATTTATAACGTTAGGCCTATAAATGCAGGCGATTACGATGCGAGACAACGCCCGGTATCCATCACGTCGTCAGTCGGCGCAAATAGAAATTTCTGAATTATAAATAGAACTATCCGCAAAACAATGCATTTATTATTATTAAATGTACATAAAACCTAAAAATAACAGCCTAAACCATAAAAAAAAATATAAATTTTATTATTGCTTGATATATTAATATAATAATTTAAATTTTTTTCATGACATTTTGGGGGACGTCGGTCCCATGGCCCCTCACCTTGTATCCGCTTCTGCCATGGCATAGTATACACTAAACGGATATTGTCATGCAATCTTATGTTTTTAAATCAATTTTAATTTATCAAATCGATAAGTTATATGTTAGGGATACCGTAAAATATTTTTTTTTTTAATAATTTTCAATAACGAGATACCGGCATTTAGATAATAACTTTTTTTTTATAATTCCATATGTTTACAATGAATTTCAAAATATGTTATATAAAATTAACTTTTTAAAATTATCTGTATCTCATTTTTAGGATGAAAAAATGTATTACATATGAACCAAAACAATTTATTGTTAATTGATTTTATTCATAAACATCTAAAGTTGTGCACCAAAAAGTTTAGAACACCGTGTGCAATGAAAAACGCTCAGTAATTACAGGCAACTTTAACGATGACATTAAATAAACCTATTAAAACCAAAAAAAAATCACGAATTGAACGATTGAAGGTAATTAAGGATTATAAAATATTATTTTTTTGGTCTTAGCAAAAATTATTTAATTAACAATTCCATATTGTACAATTTGGCATTCAGGGATGTGTGTATATAGTTCTTGTTGTTATAATATAATGTACGTTATACTTAAAAATATTAAGATGTATTCATTTTTATCCCAACCCATCGACAAATATACACACAATATTAATGAAAAATTAGTATCTTTTTTTAACTAGATAAAACGTTTCTGATAATTAATCGTCATCCAGGTAATTATTCCAGCAATTATCTCATTATTTAATCTAGATAGATACTTTTTAATCTATCTTTATCATAGATACATAAAAGACCTAGATAGCAAACTCGTATCTATTATTGAAGTCAAACGCCATTTACAGGTTAGGCAAAAACAATGAGTTCTTAATATTTAACGGTTGTCATTCTTATAATTACGTTGTATTCATTATGAGATAATAGTCGAATCGATATGAAAATCGATAATAATTTTATACATCTATGACCTTTATACGACACTGATAGCAAGTACACCTACAACTATACAATAAGGATTACTTACTAATAAATTTGCCCACCTACTTAAAATAATATCTGAATGCATATTATGTCTGTGCGTTACTCAGACAACTGAATATTCATACGAATTAAATTCGTAGAAATACAGAACATCTTTCCCAACACTGATTAATGGTCTACAGAAGAACCGTGTTATTTCATTATCTCGGTTTTCGACAAATTTGTATAATATTAATAACAACTTGGATGTGGGAGAAAATGGTAAGTATCTAAGCAATACGATTATTAAGTCTGTTCTCGTGTGTACAACTACACAGGGCTCGAAGAAAATCCCAACGTTCGTTCGTCGTACTTAGTACTCTCGATGAATATAATATATACGATTCGCCGTGAGAGAATATCTAAATTCCTACCCAATTGTTACCGAACTGTTTACTCGCGGCGCATTAGTGTTATTTTTCTCAAACGAATTTCCAAGACAACAAATTTAATTTATTTCACATGGTAAACTCATACCGCATTCGGTTGTTTTTTTTTTTTTTTTTTTTAACTGAAATTATTGATAGTTTAACCGCAAACAAGAATAAACATGACAAAATATAAGTTCCATTTATACATTTCAATATAAGTATAATTCTGTTGTAAACGCATTCGATTGTTAAACATTATAATAGATTAATTGGAAAATAAATACAAACATTAAAATATTTTACATTGAAAAAACCAACATTATTAAATACCGTACGGATTATCGATTTTTAATTCAGCTATCAAAGACTTTATTCTCGTCTAACTTTTTTAGCGTCCGCGTGTTTTACTCTTCGTATAGCATTATTTATGCCATCACTGTTATAAATCCTTAATCAAACATATCACTGGAATAATAGCTGCACCTAACCTCCGTACAAAATAAAGCAATATATTTTGTAATTTTCTATCTGTATAGTACTACAGGCGTAGTATTCATATAGAGATTGAGATAAAATCGAAAAATTCGCTTCGAAAATGTTTGTGCCCTTCGCGTAGTTCTTCTATATATCACTATAAACTACTTGGTATACATATTAGATTTGATAACAGAGAACTATTTACAGGCTCTCTGCTGTTGTCACAGATTTTCAAGAACTTTCAGCGCGCCAAACGTACACCAGATACCTATTATACCTATGGGTATGAACAACTAAAACTTAATTGCATAATGTTCTATTAACCTTGACTACTCGTTTATTTTCGAGTGGACACGGGTAAATATGTTTTGTATTATAATATGCAATTTTAGGGGTTCAATTTTCATATTTTCCGTGGAACAACGGCTGCAAAATATCACCCGAGAACCCTCGGCCCATCTCGTTAAGTTACGTATATTATTCAATGCTGAAACCTGCTTTGTCGTGTCCTAATGGGCGAATATTTTTCCATTGTCAACGGTCACAAAAATTACATTATGTAAAATAATTGTAATAACCGTTTTATGAGGTCATCTGATGATGTATTATGTTATATTCAGAAATTTGTATACAATAAACTGACAATACGATAGTGCGAAAAAAATTTCGTAAGATTCGAAGGAGATTTATAATTAAAAAACTGTTCTAGAATAATGGGGACGGGTGTAGCCACTGTTGTAGGTGAGAAGTTGAAAAGTTAGAATACAGAAGGGAATTTAATGTATATCTTTAAGCAACGATAAACCATTGCTAACGAGAAAATGATTCTGAGTGGAGTTAAGTTGATAGTGATGCTTTGTAAACGATATATATGTCATATTATAAATATAAAAATAATCAAATAGGCATTATATGTTTTATTTAATATTGAGGTTTTCAAGATATTAGACTTATTGGTCAAGTTGCCGGCGGAGACCTATAAATGGAGGCCTAGAGGGACTGCAGCCTGAGGCACCAAAATAATGATGGACCACTATATATTAATTTGGTTTTAAAATTATTTTTGTTTAAATTTGTTCAAGTACAAAAATATTTGCTAAAAATACTCTTGCGATAGAATTCTAAATTTTTATTTAATCGGTAATTGATAAAACTCTCTTTTAAGATAAAGTTGGGAAATCGTGTATTTTGAAAAAAAAAATAAATGAATTGTCAACAAACATTTTATTATAAAGTAAAATGAGTAAGGCAAAAATTCTTGGATGATACATTTAAAAATAATTCAAATATTTGTAAAATAAAAAAAATTAGAGAATGAAACTTTTTATATTATAATTGATTGTTCAATTATTGAACTGGATAAGATAATGAGTGCATGATTATGATGTTTACAACGGTTTTGGTTTCATTACGAGTTAAGTTCAGAGTCATTATATGAAACTTCTGCTGACATTTTAATCAATATATTTTAATGATATTCATACATTTAACATGAAAAAGAGATTGTGCATTTTTCAAGTTTTATTATGCAAAAATTATCCTATACAAATATTTTGTTACGTATACATGAAAATAATTTGAAATAAATGTTTTCAAATATGTAGACACCTTTTTTATTGTCATTTGATTTAATTTTTTAGGGTATCATGGCCAAGACTTTTGAGCCACCTTTTAGCTTTTAAAGAATTCTAATTTTTAGGATTTTTTTGCATTAATTCGGTTAAAAATACACGTAGAAACTTGAAACTTGGTAATAATATTTATATTGGAATTACCTAGACGTAATGAAATTTTCATAAACATCGGATGACTATTTAATTTTTTTAATTTTTTTTACAATTTTTTTTTTTTTTTTATACTGTAAATGCCTTTTGTTCTAGAAGACTTACTCCGATGTATAGGTGTAGCACCTTTTCTGGAAAACAATTTTATCTACTTGATAAATACATAGGTATTTTTTTTTGATTTTCGAAACGGTATTCAAAACAAAAACGAATTACCAAGAAAAAAAAATATTATTTTTTCACGATTTCGTTATTTTAAATAATTACTTACCATGTTTTCAAGCACAAATATGTTTTTAATTGAAAAACGACAAGAGACCTTTTTTGTTGAATTATTTATCTTATTTTTAATGATGCAGTCTTTTTTTTTAATTTTCGAGCTAGTTTTTATGATAATCGGGAAAAAACATAAGAAGATTAAGTTAAAAAAAATTACGGCATTTCAAATTCTGTATTACCGAACTGCTCTCGGAATCGTCTTTCGTCAGCAATGGCTTATCATTGCCCACAGATATAAATGAAATAACCTTATATATAATACCTTCCCAACTTCTCACCTACAACAGTGGCCACACCTGTTCCTAGTATCAGATTTTTTTTTCAGATTTAATTTGGAAGTTTAGTAATATAAACGCTCGGAAAAAAAAGTTTGTTTAATTTAAAAGCAGGATATAATTACGCGCTACGCGTACTTAGTATATTATATTATAAATATATAACTGCATCATATTAATAAAAACGCTGCTTTTTCTTTTTTTAAGTTTCGTTTAGATATATTTTGTATA